GTGGATAACCATGGATTCTGGGTGAGGACTCCTTGGAGGCTGTAGGGAGTCCTTGGAAGACGGTTACTGGGTGAGGACTCCTGCCTGAAGGCTACACAAGGTGGGGGGTATATGTTCTTGAGGGGGTAGGGGCGGATTTGAGGGGCGAATGAGAAAATGTGTAAGTGAGTTAAACAAAAAGACCACCACCTGCTGTAGCAGGTATCGCACCTGCTGGTGGGTGCAACTCCCGCATGTTCCCTCGTTGGAGGCTTGAGCACGGATGTGGCTGCTATAATGACAATAAAAAGGGCCTGAGAGGCCGTCCTGTCCAGATTTGACAGCCTTGACAGGTAATTGAATTGGTTGGGCTTAAAAGAATTAGCCTTCAAATTAAAAAAGAAAAAAAAAAAAAGGCTAGGCTACCATCCGGGCCGCCCGGGGCCCGGGTGGCCCGGCCGTGTAAGGACCAAATGAGGTCCCAGAAAAAATCTGAAAAAAACTGATGTTATGCAAAAATATAAACTGAACAATTTTTGCCTCAGGGTCACATCGAAATTCTTTACCTTTTTTATGTTTTGTTTTGTTTTGGCCTGGCCGGGGTTCACCCTGGTAGCCTAGTTAAAATGGACATTTATTTTTTTTAACGAAATTGAAAGCCACTTGTTTGGCCGTAAAAAGGTCATGTTCTTAGCTCCAGAGGGTCCTGTGTAGTAGGATGTACTGGAAATGCCAAACTGCCTTGGATGTATCTGGACTTCATCTAAGGGCATACTCACACTAGCAGGTACTTCTGCAAATTTTACGTATGTGAATTTGCGTTTATATGGCACCTGTGGGTCACACTGCTCACCCGTTTGTTGCCCAAAGCAGAAAGGACAGGGTCGCGACCTGGCCTTGGGATGCGCAAATACGTTGTGTGCAGTCAGACAGCACAACACACTTAAAATTTTATTTTTTTTTGCTTCCAGAAAGCAGTAGAGGAAAAAGAAATATGATTTTGCGAGGACCTGTCAAGGTCCCCGCAAAATATGTAAGCCTGCGGCTGTCCAGGCTGCTGACATTGGCGTGCCCTTTTGTGTGAACACGCAAAATACGTGCCTCTTGTGACCCGAAAAAACTACATAAAATTTGCGATTTTGCGAAAATACGTGGTAGTGTGAGTGTGCTCTAAGTCCAGAGAAATCCAAGGGGGTAAACATCGGACCCTCAGGAGCTAAAATATTGACTTTTTAGGGGCAAATAAGTGCGTATCAATTTCGTTAAAACAGTATATAAAACATCCATTTTAACGAAGTGGTCGTCCATCTAGTATTTGTGCATCAGGTGAGACAAGAGCACGCGCGTGTGTGCATGAGAGAGAGAGAGAGAGAGAGAGAGAGAGAGAGAGAGAGAGAGAGAGAGAGAGAGAGAGAGAGTGCTCAGTTGTGTTTCTCCGCTTGCACCTCACAGNGAGAGAGAGAGAGAGAGAGAGAGAGAGAGAGAGAGAGAGAGAGAGAGAGAGAGAGAGAGAGTGCTCAGTTGTGTTTCTCCGCTTGCACCTCACAGGATCACAATTTAATGAAGGAAGAAGGCTACCCGAAAGAACATAAAAGAACAAATGGAGTCATCTAGCAGCATAGATAGATAAGGAAGAAAAATATTTGCAGAAGAAGTGACTAGGTTAAACCACCAGGTTTTTTTTTTTTTTTTTTTTTTTTTATCATTATCCCTATTCAGCCGCCCTCATAATATTTTTCACAAAACCTTACAGCGCCATTGGGGGGGGGGGTGTAGCCAGAATAGAGAATTTAGAGAATCTAATATAACGAATCCAACATTCCAGAAGCTGCATTAAACCACCTGGACTACCCCAAGAGCTTAACACCACTATTCTTCCTATGAAGCCACGTGGTGAATTCACAACACTGCCAACTAGAATTCACCACATGGCAATGCGTCACATCCGCCGAAATCGTAGGTTATGCATACCCAAATTTGATTTATCAGTCGCTTACAAAGTACGAGTTCGCACCCCACCCTAAAATACTCACCACCCAACGACCATTGAGCAGCATAAGCAGAAGGGGCATTCAGAGCAGGCCTCCCTTGAGGAGCCAAAACCGTAGTAGCCACGTGGCGAAGCCCAGATTGACCGCACAACAGGAATCAACAGTGCCACGTGTCACGTGGCCAGATATCCCATTTGCAGTGCACATCGCTCATACCCCGTTCGCACTCGACCAGAGGCACCCTACCAGTACCTGGCAAGTGTGATAGGAGAAACCACTACCTAACCCACCCCCTCGCGCACCCACCCCACCCAAAACTGTCCCCCACACCCTTCCAGTTTGCTGAGCGGACCATTCCAACAACCCCTTCGCCCACCCCCCAAATCGTCAACCTGATTGCAAGGAAGAAAGGACAGCGGGGGAGAGAGGGAGGGGTAGACAAAAACGGAAACCCCTACCATACTTACCAAACCGCCGATATTGACATTCTTTATGTGGTTGCCGTTGTTGCTATTAAGATCATTGTCGTTATCACTGTTGTTTTTACGGCAATCCAGCGTGCACGGGCTCACGATTTTGTCACTCGCACCAGTGTCGTGCTTACCGTTGTTGTTATTATTGTCATTGTCCTTGTCACTGTTGTTATTATCGCAATCCAGCGTGCACGTTGCACCAGTGTCGCACTCGATTGTCGTAATCTTGCTGGTGCCCACAATCCCTGCGTCGTGATTGCTGCTGGTGTTGTTGTTGTTATTGTTGTTGTTGTTGTTGTTGTTGACGTTGTTGTCGGACAAGCCCAAGCTGGCTATTCTTATGTCTATACCCCGGACCTGCACGAACATGTTGTAATCAATTGCCTTTTTATCAGTAGCGAGGGCGATATCAACACCAGTTCAACCCTCCTTCAGCTCGTCACTACCAGTGGTGCACGCGTCGGTGTAATCCGCATCTTTCGTCTCGAACAAGTGCAAGTAGAACTCCTCCTCCAGCGCCGCGTACACATCTTGCCCCTCCTGGAAGATGTTGTCGCAACACCGCTTCAGAGCCTCCAGTTGACCATCCATGAGACCCTCCGTTTGCAGATGCTGCAGCTCCCAGACAATCTGCAACATGTTCGACATCACTTCCCGATACGGCGGACCCAATGAAGCTGCCCCCCCAACAGCCTCAGGTCTAAGTCCCAGTTTTGATCGCAGTGCCTCCACCATCTCCTGTAAATGAGAATGAGCTCCTTGAATGAATATGAGCCAGTCGGTGGCCCCTCGCTGCTTGTCGCCCATCGAAGCCATCTGTATACCGCGGCAGAATTTGCGCCGACGATCTCCCACGCTCCCTACCAACCCCACATCTGATGGGACTGCCACGTCAGCATCACCGCTAACCTGGGGCAGGACGCGCAACTCAAGTTCCCCACGTTGACCCACGCGGGCGCCCGATCGCATGGAAGGCAGCCGGGTCCTGCCGGCTGCGACCACGCAGAGTGTTAACGCTCTTTACCGCTATTTTTGCCGCTCTTCTTCAACGTCAGGTTAAACCACTAGTACATCCAGCTATCGGCCACGGGCCCTTTTCGGAGGCTGCCCGCCTCTGATTCAATTTATCCATGGCGCTGGGCCTTCGAAATTTTTGTAGGCGACAAATTTTCTTTTCAGCAAGGCTGGGGACATGTACTGGCAGTTTAGGAGCCCGTTGAAGGAAAATTTAAGGAAGGAACATAGAAAGAGCTCTATAGCAAAAGTTCGTAGCTCAAAAAAGGATTCAGAAAAAAATGGAGGATAGGAAGCGGCAAAGTGGCAAGAGATGGAGAGCAACTTGACCAATGGATATAATTGTACAAATGATCCTCGAGACTCGCTAAAGAGTGGGGGAGAGGAACATATGTGGTCATTAAGTTTCAAATTGAGGGGAGATTATGTATTAAGTCACCAGTACTTGGCCCAGCTATCGGCCGCGAGAAAAGAATAGAGTAGAAACATTTCTAGTCGAACACTCCTGTAGTGGCCCGTACGTTTCCTAAAATCTTGGCGCGTTAACGGGCACGACTCTAGGAAGTATTGGTGGTTACCGCCCGATCACACTCCTCACACTCCCCTACGAAATGGTGGCAAAGGCCTTAACCATTAAGCTACTCCCCTTTATGAATATCCTAGTTCATGCTGATCAATCCGGCTTCATGCCAAACAGGAATAGTCAGGACAACATCCTCCTAGTTAACGAAACCATAAAATATGTTAGGCAGCGGAAGGTAGACGCAACCGTTCTTTTCATTGGCTTCGAGAAAGCGTACGACCATGTTGATTGGGACTTCCTTGGCTTGTGCTTGCACAAAATGAATTTTGAGGAAGCCTTCTGCAGATGGGTGAACATCCTCCACATATCAGCAGCCACTAACATCATGCTAAATGACCACCTCTCCCAGTGGCACCCTTCTCTCTTCAGCGGTCCGTCAGACAAGGGGATCCGATCGCCCCGTTCCTTGTTATTATCATGGAGGCCTTGGCGGCCCTCATAAGAACTAACCCCCAAGACTCCCAAGTCAAAAAGATAGACATATCAGAAATCCCATCGCACCTCATACCTGTCACTTCCCTCTTCGCAGATGACCTAACGGTGCTCATCTAGGCCAACAACCAAAGCTTGAAGGCAGTAAAGGAAGTTGTCCATCTCTTTTTAGTGGCAGCCGACCTGAAAGGGAACTGGGGAGCAAAACCGAACGGTGGTGGTTACATTCCCAGGACCAGCCTCCCCCAGCCCAACCCAGTGTTAATTGGAGAGGAAAGGAGGAGGCCATAAAAATTGTGGGGGTCAGACTAACTGTGTTGGGTGTCCCGAGGGACCATGACGATAACCTTGTCGACACGGCCCTCAGAAGGATCATGAAATGGAAGGGTCTCCACACCTCCATTGTGGGAAGGACCCTAGCCATAAACAACTCAATTATTGCGGTTATCTAGTACAAAACCACATTTTGGAAACTGTCCCCAAAACTACTAGCAAGATTGAGGAGACCGGTAGCTACTTACCTCTGGAAAAATATGGACTCAGATTCCAGATGTATCTACTGAGTGGCCTGGGCCGGAGCACATTGCTCAACCAGGGGGGAATGGGGGGTTGGGAATAATGGACCCAGGGGATGAAATAGACGCTCTAATTTTCAAATTCACTACCAGATTATTACTTGGTAATGACATCCCTTGGCCCCCCCGACATACATCCAACTATCCTGCCTGGCCCCGGACGAGGGAGCCCAGACCAAGCTACACCCATTAAGATGGCTTACCAACAGTGCCTGGTCTATCCCCTCCCCACCGAGACACAGGAGAGAAACATCAACAGCAAAAACCAAGCGAAAACAGACCTCTTCACTGACCCTCTAAGGACTTCGCTCATCAACCTGTGGAGAAGAAAAGTCCCGTCTGAAATAGCCACTCCTCTAAGATGGCACAAAGTGGTGAGGCAACCTGTTTTTGGAAATCCACAGATCTTGGATAAAGACGGCCACATGATTGGTCTCCACTCTAACTCGCCATGGCTCTCCTGGGCTAAAAAAGGAGTCTGTGAGACCACTCTGAGGGTGACTGGAAAACTGCAAAACATTAAACCACCAGCACTTGGGCCATACACCGGCCGCGGGCCTTCCCGTTAACGCGCCGCAGCCTTAGGGGGCCGGCAAAGGGAAGGTCTGGTCGTTGCTGAATGGCTGGGCCCCGGTTCACTCGACATGACAACAAAGAACAAAGAAAGAAAAAAAAAAATATTCAAATACACAAAAGTAAAAAAGAAAGAAGACGATCATTCGAATACACAAAAGTAAAAAAAAAAGAAAACGAAAGGGAAAAAACAAAGTCACGCGCGCGCGCGCGAGAGAGAGAGAGAGAGAGAGAGAGAGAGAGAGAGAGAGAGAGAGAGAGAGAGAGAGAGAGTGCTCAGTTGTGTTTCTCCGCTTGCACCTCACAGGATCACAATTTAATGAAGGAAGAAGGCTACCCGAAAGAACATAAAAGAACAAATGGAGTCATCTAGCAGCATAGATAGATAAGGAAGAAAAATATTTGCAGAAGAAGTGACTAGGTTAAACCACCAGGTTTTTTTTTTTTTTTTTTTTTTTTTATCATTATCCCTATTCAGCCGCCCTCATAATATTTTTCACAAAACCTTACAGCGCCATTGGGGGGGGGGGTGTAGCCAGAATAGAGAATTTAGAGAATCTAATATAACGAATCCAACATTCCAGAAGCTGCATTAAACCACCTGGACTACCCCAAGAGCTTAACACCACTATTCTTCCTATGAAGCCACGTGGTGAATTCACAACACTGC